TCTGCATACGCACTCACTTGTATTGATTTTATGCCTATATGTCCTGAGATCTCAAGTTTCCGAATAGATGCTTCCAGCGTCAGGTTAAAAAGCATTGTTGAGAGAGCATCTCCGTGTCTAACTCCCATATTGACATTAAATGGTTTAGTTAGCTCACCATCTACTCTTACTACTGCCTTGGAGTCTTTCAACGTCGCTCTAATGAGCCTGACGTATTTAGATGGTATCCCTAATAGGAGAATATCGCTTAACATTTGGTCCCTATTGAGACAATGAAATGCTTGTCTGAAGTCCACATATAAATTATGTAAGTCAATATTATATTCATAGGCTTTCTCTTGAATCTGTCTCAATACAAATATCAGGTCTATCGTTGATCTATCTGCTCTAAAGCCACACTGATACTCTCCTAACATGTCTTCTACATATACAACCAAGGTCTAATGGCCTTTATAGATACAAATTGACATTATATTTTTTTTCAGGTCAAGTTCAAGATCAAAATCAAAACGATCACGCAGCTCATCAGGCAGCCCTGTGGCTTCAAAACGTTCATATAGGTAACTTGTATTTGTTTAGCTGTTTCTCTGCAGAGTACACCATACCAATCAGTGTCAAAATGAGGATTTACTTTGTGCATATAAATATATGTTATCTTGTTTGTGAACAGATCACGTAGCCGCAGTCCAGTTTCAAGTCGCAAGTCCTCACGCCGTTCGCGCTCTCCACACAGTAAGAAATCTCGAGGTCAGTCACCTTTATCACCATCGCGTCTCAAACATAGGGGACCTTCTCCACCATCTCCCCCTCGTATCAAACACAGAGGGTCTTCTCCCTCATCACCACCAAGAATGAAACGAAGAGGTGGCTCTCCTCCGACACCACAACGTTTGAAGCGTCGGGGATCGTCGTCGCCCTCTTCGCCCAGATCCAAACATAGGGGCTCTTCCCCTGCATCGCCTCCACGGAAACATAAGCACAAGCACAAATATTAGTCAGAGGTGGACAGATAAATTTGTAATGTATTAGTGTGTCTGAAAGTCTCTCAACCCTCTGTTATCAGTGGTATTAACCAGTTATGGTGAACATAGTCAATACTGATATTTTGTGACTTCAATACAGTTACTTCATTTCAGTCACATTGGTTCTTCACAATAGTGCGCAGAACATGCTTACCAATGCATTTACTACTTTTTGACTTCTTAACTTTATTCCATCGAAAACAAAGTAACAAGCATATGTTTCCTATGAAGATTTCTGTCTTCTGGGTTGTTGCACCGTGTAGTATGGTAGATGTTTACCAACGGCTCAGAGGTCATACTGCGCTGGTAAACATCTACCATACTACACGGTGCAACAACCCAGAAGACAGAAATCTTCATAGGAAACATATGCTTGTTACTTTGTTTTCGATGGAATAATGTGTATGTGTAGGTTTGACAAGACTGTCTAGATTTCAGTTAAAAATGGCTGAAGTTTTACATTTGCATATTATGAATAAGGTGATGATTGTGTGAGATTTGATACAGTTTAAATATTGTAAATTAACTTTGTCATTTGTTTGCAGATAAATTAATTATGATAAATGTCTGTAGAGAAATGAAATATGTGGCACATTAAAACATGGCTTTTAGCCTTCTTACTGCCAGGTCTAATACTGGTCATGTACAAGAACTATCAGGGTGTTTCATAGAATTTGAGTTACATTTATGGGAGGGAACTTTATGCCATTGACAAGAAGCAGAATGTGCTGAGAATGATATATTTTTAGTCAGCACACAAATCACATTAAAAATAAAAGCCTGGACATTTCACTGGCAGTGAAAGGGTGAAATTTAATGGTCAATCTGACAGAGGCATGTGAACCCATTAAGAATTTTATGGTCCTCTTACTATGGAACTAAAATAGACTGTGGGAAGTCAATGGTGTAATGAAATAAAAGGGAGGATTTCAAACACACAGTGGTAATATTTAGTAATGAATCTGACTGACATTGTAATGTAAGACAGGTTTATTTCATAATGAGATAGCATAAACTGAATGAATGAATGAATGAATGTTTGTAAGTTTTGTCTCAAATCTTTTTCAGATCTTTGAACTTTGGAAGTAACTCTTGCATTGTGTTCGTTGCATACTTTAGCCTGCGCATTGGAAATTTTTGTTGTAAATTTGATTCTTCATAGTTCTCCCCAACATAATTTATGAACTTGGTACTTCAGTCCTTCTGTAATGAGTGACTGTACAGAGCAGTGGATGCAATTAAATATGTGTTATGGTTTTTAATGTTTTGTTCAAGAGCATTACTCTAAGCACAAGTAATGAAGGTTTCATAATATTTTTCAATAACTAGGGCAGAATGCTCCTTTCGGAGCTCCTCGGAGGGGTTGGTCAAGTTTTTAAAAAGCAACCAACCCCTTCGGGGGGGGTTGGTTACGTTTTAAAATCTTGTGTAAGAAACTAAACTAAACCCCCCAAATGGAGGGTTAAAACACTTGACCAACCCCCTTTCGGGGGGGTTGGTTGCGTTTTAAAATCTTGAGTAAGACACTAAACTCGGCATTGTTGTGTTCCACAACAATGCCGAGTTTGTTTATAGTTGACATTGTTGATGACGTAATTTATTGACGACGACGAAATCACAAATTTTTATAATATAGATACCATTCCATTTCCTATAATACCATTTAAAGTCAATGCATCATTTTACTTACAAATTTTAGTCATATTTTCTGGTATTTGGTGGGTACCCATTTCAAGTTGCAGTCATAGCACTGACTCTTCATACTTCAGTTTCTATGGTTTTGCTCGGGTTGTCCACATGAATGTCAGAATAATTATAATAATAATGATGGAGATGACTATCTTTTGGGATGTTGCACCATGAAGTCTGGTAGAACTTTACGGACATCTCGGAGGTGCTTGCTGTGTATGTCATCATTGACGTGGTGATGGAGGCAACAAGCTGATTAACTTCTACCGTACTACATGGCACAATAACTCAGAAGACAGTTATCTTCATGCTCACTGCATAAAAACCTGAATATGAAATATGACTTGTGATAATGTGGTTGGTTTGTTAGTTGACAGGTTTATAGTTTACTTGGCTACACTGGTTATTCATCTCAGTACAATAAACCAAACTGAAAATTAAAAGATTAGCTATAACTTTGACCAGGGGTTCTCATTCCATTAGGTACAGGTCATATGTGGCCCATCGATGTTTTGTGTGGCCTGTATGCATTTTGTAGTGGCTGGGATAGCTTTGTAGTACATTTGACAGTCTGTGCGTTGGACAACAGAATTTAAATGTTGACAGGAGCAGGGTTTCAATTCTTCCACATTCAGACCAGCTCTTGGGTCTAGTAAATAGCCTTTCTGCTAGGCAGTGTTTCTTTCTGAAGTTCAGTGGTCTCAACATGGAGTGAAACATTCACCTTCGTCAAGTTCTGCAGTTACGTACGTATGGAAATTGAATTTCATGGCCCTTACAAGCTGCATGGCGTGGTGGTTAGATTTCATGGCCCTTACAAGCTGCATGGCATGATGGTTAAATGCAAGAACAGTTTTACCATTTGCTTTTATTCTCTCCCCATCAGATTATTGTACCATTCACTCTGATCTTGGTAAATGGCATATACCATACTACTGTATAATGGTTATACCATCAGGACTTGGTCACAAGAGAAATTAGTGATATTCACCATGTGAAGGTGTGTGTGATGATAATCTGTCATGAGAATATTTCTTTGGGGGCACTATTATCTCAGCAGGCAGGATGTACAGTTCAACCGTTGATACAATGATTGAAGTGGCTATCTTGAAGATACAAAAACAATAAAGAATTGATTCAATAGTCCCATTGTTTTTAACATTATCTGAACCGAGATGCTGAAGATTTTCCCATATTTACATAACCTCTTACACTTAAAACTGATTGCATGTCTGGATATATTCTTTACAAGAAAAAGCCTTTCCCATTAGTTGCTGCAAATTCACAAGTTCTACCCCCATTCCACCCATAATTTACTGCACATGCATACATATATGAGAATAAATTTGTTGATTTGTATGGACCTTGCTTCAAAGGTGTAATGCACAAAGTTGTGTGTATGTGGGCTGGTTTTAAACTCCATGGTTGGAATAACAGACACCTATATACAGAACATGGCCATATTTTGGCATCCATAGTTATTCTTTGATGAGCCATAGGCTTCTTACATGTGTATTACATAAAGTTCATATTCAGCTATAAGCACAGAAATTTTCACTGCCGTGAGTAGGTTTTAGAATTATACATGGCACTAATGGGTTGGTTTTTCTGATAGGGAGGAATTGTTAAGGTTGAAAAGCAGTTACCGTTGATATCGACTGTGGTACTGCTTAGATCACGTCACCGTCATGCATACTTGTAACTGGCATAGCTGCGAGTACAACGGC